TTTAATGGATAATTAAGCTTAATTAAGGTAAGACTTAATTAGGATCTAAGGTTGATTTAAGCCTAATTTAGGTAAGGCTTAGGATTGATTAAACCTAATTTTGTTAAGATTTAATGGATAATTAAACCTAATTTAGGTTAGACTTAATTAGGCTTTAAAGTTGATTTAAGCCTAATTTAGGTAAAGCCTAATTTAGGTAAGTAATTTAGGTAAGGCTTAGGATTGATTAAACTCAATTTTGTTAAGGTTTAGGATAATTAATCATAATTTAAGTTAGGTTGATTTAAGCCTAATTTGGGTAATGCTTAGGATTGATTAAACTCAATTTTGTTAAGGTTTAATGGATAATTAATCCTAATTTAATAGGCTTTAAAGTTGATTTAAGCCTAATTTAGGTAAGGCTTAGGATTGATTAAACTCAATTTTGTTAAGGTTTAGGATAATTAATCCTAATTTAAGTTAGGTTGATTTAAGCCTAATTTGGGTAATGCTTAGGATTGATTAAACTCAATTTTGTTAAGGTTTAGGATAATTAATCCTAATTTAAGTTAGGTTGATTTAAGCCTAATTTGGGTAAGGCTTAGGATTGATTAAACCTAATTTTGTTAAGGTTTAATGGAAAATTAAGTCTAATTTAAGTTAGACTTAATTAGGATCAAAGCCTAATTTAGATCAGGCTTATGATTGATTTTAGGTCTAAGATGGCTTAGACCTAGGGATTGGCATTAGATTAATCCTAGTAACCACTTCTAATCCTTTAAAATAAAAGATTAACAATGACAAGCCAAGTTTAGGAATTTTTAGGCTAACGTAAAAATTTTTATTTACATTTTTACCCCTAAATGTCTAAATTGTCACTTTAGACTTTTTAAAAGGTTAGAAATTTTTGTCTTAGGCAATTATTTGATTGGCTTAAATTTTCTAACCATTGTCACTTTAATTATAGGATTATCGGAAAATTGATAATTTTTAACTTAAGGATATTTTCTAATCTTGAAAATTTCAGAGAATGTTTTCAAAGATGAGATAAATAATCCCTAAAAATTTCATAATTTTTATATTTATATTTAATTTTTTAATTATTAAAATACTCCAAAGAGTATTTAATTAATTAAAAATTAAATATAGATTATTTATTATCAATTTAATTTTTTAAATTTTCTCCTCTGTTTCCTGAATCCAGGGGTATTTTTGGTTAATTTTTATGATTTTTCTGCATTAAATTATGCATTTTTGAAGTTTTCTAGATTTATTACATAGAAAAAGAAATATTTTCCTATTTAAACACTCGGTTGCCCCATCATTCTCGACGACGTCGAAGGATTGTGCAACATTATTTGATTGGGCGCCTTTCCACGTGAGCATCCGAGCTGCCAAAGATCCTGCGCTTTCCTCCCCTGCTGTTTCATTAATTCGATTTAATCGTGGTCGTGCATTTTCGATACACGGAAATGGACGACATTAGTCCATCATCCCAAGAGGACGATTAACCGATGGCCGTTCGTGATTAATTCAGAAAATCTCCACGGATTCTTCCTTAAAATTGATGATTTTTGTTCCAAAAACTTCATCGAAGCAAGGGGAACATCCCACAGTTTTATTAGCAAGGTGATGATTTATTTCACAAAGGCCCAGAACCGAAGCAAATTTTAGGGTTTCCAATGCATACCTTAGCGTAAGAGGTGTGACCTCAATTGGAGTTGATAGGAAAGTTCGTGAAGACCTTGCGAAGCTCCTCAGTTTGATTTGAAATGAAATCAAGCCTATGTAGATCCTTGGAGAAACGGTGGCTCGGCTGCAACTTAGAAAAGGTTGAAGGCCTCGGGAATGCTTGATTTCGATGGGAAATGTCTTTGTAGGGTTCAGGGAAGCTTTTGGGAGGTTTAATTTGAAGCTTTGGTAAAGTTTATGTCATACCCGAAATTTGCCTTAGATTTGGAGTGGAAAATTAGGGTTTCACAGAGGGTTTGAAGTCTTGGAGAGATGGGAGAATCTATTGCCTATGTCTTGGAAAAGTTTTCCTCTCTTGAGGGCCAGAGGTTTTGAAGCTTAGGTAAGATGTTCCTCCTTTTTGGGGCTCCCAGGCTTGCCCTTTTAATGGCCATGGGAGGCTTGGAAGAGGCCAAGCTTAGTCTGGGGAAGACCCCCTGACTCCTCTAAAATGTTTTCATAGATCAAGGAGAGGAATTATGAAGAGGATTCCTCTTTTGGCAGTTCTGTCCATGTTGGCTCCAATGGAGAAAGAGGGAGGAATCCATGGCTTTTGGGCATTGGAGAAGGCAAGAGGTGGGGTGGTTGAGCTTGGCAGCACTTCTCCTTATCCCAAGCATGAAGGGACTTCGGTTACTTGGACTAGAATGCCAAGTATGAGGGGGAAGTAGGTAGAAATAATTCCCTTTGTCCCTTCTCCCATATTTTAATTTTTCTTTTGTTTTATTAGCATTTAAATAATACATAGGTTATTCAAATCCCTGGTGGGTTTGTGTAGTTCATGGGCTTGGACCTTGGGTTTTAATTCATGGACTTCAGCCATAGGCTAAGTGTTTAGATTTTAAGCATTGGATTAGGGTTTTGGATTAATCCTAAGCTTAATAGGTCTTAAATTCATTCTTTTAATTAGTTAGTTAATTATTTATTTATTTAAGAGAATGAAAAATTGACCAAATTATTATGGGTTGACCATGATTGACCAGGGTTGACCATTTGATCCAAGGTTGATCATATGGTGGTTTATCCCTTTTAGGTTTAAAAGGACAAATTTGGGTTTTGGTCCGAAATTTAGGGTTTGGAAGAGTTAAGACCACTAGTGAGGCTAAGGGGTCAATTTCGATAGATCTCCTTCCTAAGATAAGTTTAATGGTCATACTGGATCCTAACATTTCCAAGCTTACCCAAGCGGCCTAGGGTATGTCTTACCTAACATTTCCAAGCTTACCCAAGTGGCCTAGGGTATGTCTTACCCTTAATGGTTAATTCAAGTATTCACTTAGTCAAAACCGTAAACCCACTCAGCCAAAGGGTTGAGGCTTGAGCTTATATAAGTGGTATAAATTAACCTCTACAAAAGTGAGGTCAACAAAACACGAGTCGAACACAAACAAAAGAAAAAATTAAAGAGACAAAGACAAACAAGCTTTAAACTCACTCATTTTCAGTTCATTTTTACCCCTAATGATGAACACAAAAATAGAGTTATGTTGGTAGTTTTCATATCTGTAAATTCAACAAAATCATTTTATTGCTTTACTTTTATCTTCTGTCCAGCTCATGTGTTATATGGTTTATCCCAGCACTTGATGTCCTCTCGAAATAATGGGAGCCAAAATCAGAGGAAGTTTTGCATGGACTCTTAGTGGAATGACTCCAAGTGATCTCCAAAACATCATTTTGAGTATTTTGATTTGGGTTTAGGTCGAGTTGGCATGTTGGGTCAATTTTTGACAACTTTACCCGTGAATCTGTGATAATATGAAATCAAATCCAATAGTTCAACTTTTAGAGCCTTGATCTCCATCATATAAAATTCTTGATTGGTAATTCAATCACATCTATAGATTTCTAGTGGCATCCTCTTCAATATCACTGATGTGATCCAAGAATCGCTATTTCTTACAATATTTTATGGAGAAAAAATTGAAACTTTAGCAAACACAAACTCATGCCCAAAGAGTGATCATAGGTGATTTAATTGATCGCCTCTTAGATTCAATCCCAAAATCATATGATCTAGTTAACATTCATTCATAAATCCATCATATAATTTTCCTAATTATCATTTTATTAAATGATCACCTCTTAGATTTAATCCCCTATCTAGGTGTAGTGGCAGTTTTCTAGCTGCGGTCTAGCTTTTTCAAAAAGATAAAAATTTGTAATAATCACAGCACCTAGCTTCTAAACAGATTACAGATTAAAAGATAAAAATTTGTAATAATCACAGCACCTAGCTTCTAAACAGATTATTTTTAATCAGTTTATCAGCAGATTTTTCAATAAACTGCAGCTATCCCAAACAGACGCTTAGTCACTAAGCACCGTTTTAGGAAGCCAACTCGTTTCATTTTTTAGAAATAAAATCAAATATAATAAAATGATAACTAGGAAAATTAATCCAAAAAACATGCAAAATAGATTACATCAAACAAAATGCCTAAGTCATGTTTAAACAACTTGAATCATTGAACTACTCAAGTTTGTAGCATTCATCGCTAGATTAATCTAAACTTTATCCATCATAATTTTCATTCATGTTCGCTTCCGCATCAAGACTTACATTTAAGTTTACTTCAAAACAAAAATCCAAGTTTAATGTTTAGCACTAGAAACCTTCAGATGATACTATCAACAATGTTCGCAGGCTAGAGAAGAGTAAACTCATTACCGGCCAAACCAACATCTCTTGTGCTCTTCAACTTATTCTATCGAAAGCACGGATGGAACCCGGCCAAAGATACATGAGAAGGAATTTTTCCTCTTTCAAACTTCACCAACAAGCATGATTTTATAGAAACGCTCATGTAGCTAAAATTCTTCCACATAAATGACAGAAAAAGAAGTTTGCGTGAAGTTATTCCTATAATAAGATTGTCATGGAAGAATTATTACTTAATTACTTCTAACAAGTCGAATGGCTCAACATATGCAACAATTCTTGGATAAAAATCGATAAAGCAATAAAAAGCACTTAATGAAGATCGTTCACTCCAGTTATCCTTCACTTCAAATAAACAAGGGTCCCTCAAAATTTTTAGATGAAGGGATTAGCTAAATGCCAAGAATAATAAGAGTTATAGACAATGAGACAAGCTTATTCCTCATGTTATGTAACTAAGAAATTATTCTAGTTTGGGTTGCCATTTTCTACTAAGTATAATATAAAATTCTTTCACGCTATTCCCCCAAATTTTCATGAATTCTCAAAAGTTTTACTGCATGCAATGTATACATACATTGTTCTCTTTAAAAAAATACCATCCAACAAGTTATCATAGAATTCTCACCTCAGCTTGCCGACCTGCATGCAGTCTAATCCCAGAAGCATCATACATTACCTGTAGAAATAATTATAAAAAATAATATCTTCAACCCGATATAAGAAAATATCAAAATATCATTTCTGAAATTTTCACAAAATGCGAATGGCAAATACTGGCATGCTTGATCTAAAACCCCGCAACATGAAGCACCAAAACAAGAAGAATGCATTTGACAATGATGCCCGCGATTCAAGTGAAATATTACCAAACACAACCAAATTTAAAAGCATTTAGCTAAGATTTGGGAATTAAAAAGATCAAACAGCTCTAGTATATACAGGTGGTTCGGAGTTAAATAATTAAGTTGAATTTTTAGATAAATCACTGCCACAGATACAGATTTATGATCTAATTTGAAGTTTCTCATATGCGTGAGCTCTTATAGTTTATTGTCATTTTTTAACCACAAAAGAGCACTCTTGATTAATTCTAAACAATAGTCACTACGATATTTTGTTTAATTTCAAAATTTGGAGGGAGGAGAAGAATATAGCATCATTAGCTGTTTAAATAAACTCAGTTTCTAGGAATAGTGAAAAAAGACTATTTAAAAGAATTCTACAGATTCATTATTTGATTTATGTATGGTAAGAAATCTGAAGCTCTATGTATTTCTAGGAAGGATAATGCTAAGAAGAAAAGCTAATGAACCAACAATGAGAATAATTTGTATATTTAAAGAAATTCTAGGCTTTGAAGTATGACTGACATAGAAATCTGAAATTTTATCTTGAGCTTTGTTAAGCAATTAGGAATTAATGACTAAGGATTGATACATGTATTTTAGCAAAGGGTTTCCATGTGAATAACTTGTTTATGAAGAAGGAAGCTAGGAAAATTTATATAGGTACTGAATTATAAAAGGTAGCATCTATGGATTAATGTGGCGAACCAAATCTTCTAAGATTAATGTGGGTAATGTCATTTCTAGATTATAAAGATGCTTCCTTTCTCGTAGATATAATTCATGTAAATAGTTATATTTATGATTTTTGCTCTTTTATATGCAAGAGATGGCATGTTACGAAGAATAGTTTGTTTCAGCTGCTTATGGTATTCAATGCAAGCTTTCTTACTAAAAAACATTATATGGTCAGGAAAATGAACAAGAGGAAGATATATAAAATGTTTTGGATTTATATGTTGAAAGATGAAGTCTTCTACCTTCCAATAGCGGGAGCGCTAACATAGTTTTGTGTTGATAATTTTGATATTTCTACCAAATTTATCAAACTAAGAAAATCCTTAATAATTTTATGCCCCATTTTTTGTAATTCACAAAAATAATTAAAACTATTTTTATAAACTCTTCAATTTTAAAAGAATCACTTCTAGGTAATTATTTGTATTTTAGTTTATAAATTAACTGAAGTTTCAAATTAAATTACCTAAGTTTTAATTAATAATACTAGAGCTACAACTTTTGTCCTATAGTTATAATAGAATTTCCCTAC